CATGGTGGTGTGAGTAAATAAATATATTTTTGTAGCACATGAATTGGGCGGTACCTAGCGCCACCTAGCCTAGTGTAACTGATATGCGGCATATGAAACTGGTACGAACTAATAAGTTCTAACATGAAAAAGGTTTCCAATAAACATATCAGAAAAAAAATTCATATAAATTTTTTTCAGTAGGTTAGTGGTATCCGAACGAACTTTACGTCCTTTGACCGTACGTCTGTCTGGACGTCAAAGCTTTTTGACGTACAGTCAGAGACAATCGATGTACAATCAGAATCGCCATCAAGACATCTTGATCGCATTTCGCGGCGGCCGACTGCCACCAGGAAACCATCAGAAAGCCGACAAGTGGAGTCTGACTGGAGTTTGACTGTCGGTCAGAGTAACTTGTTGGCCAAACAGACATGCTTGACGCACAGTCAGGCACAGTCAGCGGCCCACTAGAAAATATTGACTGCCAAACAGGGTTACATTGATGGATTTTTCCTTCGGGTCACCATTAGACACGAGAGGCGGGTTTTCCCTCGCGGATTTGCTCCCGATAAGAAACCGAAAGTCAGAATCGCGTCAGAATCGGGCCTTTTCTCGGAACGCCGTAAAGTGCTGCACGTGCCTTACACCATTATAACGTGGGTATACTTAGTAGTTTTCGATGATGCTGAGCGAAATTCTAATTAAAACCATGCCTTTGAAATTCATAATTAACAATTCAAGTACTCAAAATGTATTAATTACGCAAGTATATTAACCTCTAATTCTTTTGTTTTTTTACACAGACCACTACGGCATCAACCTTTTTTTCTTTGTGATGCTTCGATTTTGCCCGTTTTTCCGAAAACACCCTGTATATGTCAAAACAAATATTTTATACTCTTGGAAATTTAAATCCACCCGCAGCAACTGTGCCGCATCAGAAAATATTGACAACCACTGTTCAGTCAGTGTAGATTAAAACATATTTAGATGTACTATGCCTGTACAGCGTTTACATACATGAATATACACAATGGAGTCAATTTTGCCCTTAGTGACACAAATATTTATGATCTATCTACTATAAGAGGAAATTCAAATAAATAAAGGCCAGTTGAATCCAAGCGAAACTCGATGAATACCAAAGGAAATGCACTAAAAGTATGAATAACCTAAATGATCAAGAGCAACTTTCATCAAGCTAGAAAAAAAAAACGAAATGACAAAATTATACAAAAGAAAGACGTACATAGAAGTATTTCTCCAACCAAAAAATGAAAAGGCAACCCGACGTTTCAAAACTAACACGGTTTCTTCTTCAGGGGTGACCGAAGGCGCGCGGACACAGCAGCAGCTCCCAACCTCTTCGTCTTCAAAAAAGAAAGAAAAGAAAAGAAAGAAAGAGAAAAGAAAAGATTAAAAAAGAGAAGTTAGGAAATTGGAAAAATTGTAAAATAACTTGTTAGTTAAGAAGATGGTCATCTCTTCAGCTTTCCCGTCAGGTCACGGAGGCCATGTGCGTACACAGAGGGCAGAGCGCCCAGCGACCTGTTTAGGTTTCCTGGGGTGTGCTGGATGTGCCAAGATTCCAAGAAAAGTCTTCTTCGAAAATTGGGCTCTGTGTCCACCACGTGCGCGTTCGCAAAGTCAATGCGATGGTCTAGGGTATCGCAATGTTCGGCGATGGCACTGCGCTTACTGTCAAACTTCCGCACGTCGTTCTTGTGTTGGCGGATACGCTCGGGAAAGTTCGCCTCGCCGATGTAGGTTGCGGGGCACTCTGCGCAAGGAATGGTGTAAACCACGCCCTGTGCTTTTTCCTTTGGTGGACGGTCTTTCGGTCTTGGCATAAACCTTCCCAGTGTGGAGGTGGGCTTGTGGGCCACCAGAATACCTTGCTTTCCCAGTACTCTTGCGAGCGCTTCGCTGGTTCCCTTTACGTAGGGAACGCTTATGCGCGCGACTCGATGGGGCTGTCGTTCTTCTACTGGCATCTGGTTTTGTCTGGCGAGACCTTGCCGTCGGGCGATGCGCTCAATAAAGCTGCTAGAGTAACCATTTTTCTTTAGGTCTTCAATTATGGTCTTCTTCTCCTTCTTTCTATCGGTTTCCGACGAGCAGACGGTCGTTGCCCTACGGAGCAGGGTCGAAACCACTGAGGCCTTATGACTCGTTGGATGGTTGGAGACAAAATCGAGGTAGCGTCCGGTGTGTGTTGGTTTTCGGTACATCGCAAACGTCAGATCTTGTCCTCGTCGGTTCACCAGCACATCAAGGAACGGCAGGGTGCCATCCGTCTCATATTCTACGGTAAATTTAATGACCGGCTCGATAGAGTTGAGGTGCGCCAAAAAATTATTCACGTCCCGTTCCTTGAGAATGCAGAAGCAATCATCTACATAGCGCATGAATACTTTGGGGCTGTTGGGAAAAGACCTCAGCGCTTTTTGCTCGATTGCCTCCATCGTGAGGTTCGCCGTTGTGACCGAGATGGCCGCACCCATTGCAGTGCCACTGACCTGTTTGAGCCTCCGTCTCAAGCACCTTGTCCACACAGAGGAAGGGCACAAGATCGTGGCGCAGGCAGAGAAACGATTGGTAAGGGCCAGAATTCACGATTGCCAGGCCACGCTAAGAAGAAAAGAACTGGACCTCTTCGACGCACGCCGGCAACTCGAGCACCGCATCCCGGACGTGTTCCCGGCTTTGCAGGCTTTTGCCACAAGTGTCGCCTCTACTGCTTTGGATAAACGACGGACTTCTCAGAAAGAGAAGATTTCAAGGCTAACGAGATCGGACCGTTCAAGTCGAGGCACCAATAACACAAACTTTGTCAAGAACCTCTCCTCTCGACAGCTCTCGCCATGCGAGATTGCGGTCTTGGCAAAAGGCCACGGATTCAACATGACCACGCAACGGCCGCCTCTTCCAAAAATGGTCGCGGCTGTGGAGGACGGAATTATGCGCTTAGACCCTAGCATCCGGGATGGAGTGCGGCTTAAAGCGGTGGGCATCCTTTCCAAGCTCCCACAACGGCAACGACTCAACCTGCCGGCCGAAGAAGTTACAGCGCTTCGGAAACTTCGTGAAGATGCGGAGATTGTGCTTCTGCCGGCTGACAAAGGGAAGTCGACCGTCGTCCTGGATTGGGAGGTATACGAGGAAAAGGTACGGGATCTTCTTGGAAGCCATGCTTATGTAAAGCTCAAGAAAGATCCGACGCCACAGGTTCAGAGGAACTTGAACAAAATCCTGGCAGAGATTTTCAAGAAATACCCTCAGTCAAAGAGCCTTTACTTGCAACTTATTTGCAGGAATGGCTCCGCTCCAGGTTTTTACGGCCTTCCAAAGATCCACAAACCCAACGTGCCTCTACGACCCATTGTGGACTTTACAACGTCACCGCTTCGGGCGCTATCCAGTTATCTTCACCGGACTTTGGCTCCCCTTGTCGGAAACACGTCGACCCATGTAGAAAATGCTGGCCACTTCGTGGAACGCGCCTCGCAAATACATCTCAGCGATGGTGACACCATGGTGTCTTTCGACGTGGTGTCCCTCTTCACCAGTGTCCCAGTTCCCCTTGCAGTTGCTGCAGCCCGCGAAGCCCTCGAAAAAGACAGCTCCTTGACCACAAGAACCAACCTCACTGTGGAGGAGCTGTGCCGTCTGCTCGAGTTTTGTCTCGGCAGCACATACTTCACCTTCAAAGGGGAGCTTTTCAGACAGGTCAGTGGCACTGCAATGGGTGCGGCCATCTCGGTCACAACGGCGAACCTCACGATGGAGGCAATCGAGCAAAAAGCGCTGAGGTCTTTTCCCAACAGCCCCAAAGTATTCATGCGCTATGTAGATGATTGCTTCTGCATTCTCAAGGAACGGGACGTGAATAATTTTTTGGCGCACCTCAACTCTATCGAGCCGGTCATTAAATTTACCGTAGAATATGAGACGGATGGCACCCTGCCGTTCCTTGATGTGCTGGTGAACCGACGAGGACAAGATCTGACGTTTGCGATGTACCGAAAACCAACACACACCGGACGCTACCTCGATTTTGTCTCCAACCATCCAACGAGTCATAAGGCCTCAGTGGTTTCGACCCTGCTCCGTAGGGCAACGACCGTCTGCTCGTCGGAAACCGATAGAAAGAAGGAGAAGAAGACCATAATTGAAGACCTAAAGAAAAATGGTTACTCTAGCAGCTTTATTGAGCGCATCGCCCGACGGCAAGGTCTCGCCAGACAAAACCAGATGCCAGTAGAAGAACGGCAGCCCCATCGAGTCGCGCGCATAAGTGTTCCCTACGTAAAGGGAACCAGCGAAGCGCTCGCAAGAGTACTGGGAAAGCAAGGTATTCTGGTGGCCCACAAGCCCACCTCCACACTGGGAAGGTTTATGCCAAGACCGAAAGACCGTCCACCAAAGGAAAAAGCACAGGGCGTGGTTTACACCATTCCTTGCGCAGAGTGCCCCGCAACCTACATCGGCGAGACGAACTTTCCCGAGCGTATCCGCCAACACAAGAACGACGTGCGGAAGTTTGACAGTGAGCGCAGTGCCATCGCCGAACATTGCGATACCCTAGACCATCGCATTGACTTTGCGAACGCGCACGTGGTGGACACAGAGCCCAATTTTCGAAGAAGACTTTTCTTGGAATCGTGGCACATCCAGCACACCCCAGGAAACCTAAACAGGTCGCTGGGCGCTCTGCCCTCTGTGTACGCACATGGCCTCCGTGACCTGACGGGAAAGCTGAAGAGATGACCATCTTCTTAACTAACAAGTTATTTTACAATTTTTCCAATTTCCTAACTTCTCTTTTTTAATCTTTTCTTTTCTCTTTCTTTCTTTTCTTTTCTTTCTTTTTTGAAGACGAAGAGGTTGGGAGCTGCTGCTGTGTCCGCGCGCCTTCAGTCACCCCTGAAGAAGAAACCGTGTTGGTTTTGAAAAGTCGGGTTGCCTTTTCATTTTTTGGTTGGAGATATATTTTCAGACTTTAACTCTCACCCAACCAGGCAGATTTCTGTCGAATATGTTTACTTTCCAATAGAAGTATTTCATGTTGCAACCACACATTGAATGATGTCATCAAAATTCAAAAACTCAATCCGGTAAAAAAAGGTCTAAGATAATTAAGAAATATGTGATAGGAAATAACATTGCATTCCTAATTCTTTGAGTATTGCATATGCTGTTCCAGTCCTATGCGCCAAGCATTAGTTTCCAGCTTAATGTGTTAAGTAGTTTTCAATATACTTTATTTTCATATACTGAATTTGTGCTGGCCCCTTCCACTTCACTCTGTTCTTCTTATACTTTTTAACTTCTACATTAACTTAAGATTGTTGCTCTTGAAAGACCTCAGTTATTTTATTATTTAGTATTTTTGGATATGAGTAGGCCGTTTGTAAGCAAGATAAACGACCCAACAGACAATTCAGAGACTCCTGGTGCAGCATGTGATTAATGACTCTAAATTACAAAAAAAGATACTGTGCTTCCAGTACTTTTTGCATACACTTTTTGTGCACAAAAAGAAACGTTGCCGTCTTTTCTAAGGTATATTTACATTTTTATCTGTCATTACACAATAAATAACAGGCTGAAATATTTAAAACAATGCGAAACCTACACCGCTCGCAAGTAGAACCCCTGCAGGTGTATCCCCAAATGAAATAAACACACGTCGGAGCTTGAGTATTTCGTTTAAATTACCTCCACAGCTATAGTTCACGTGAGGGTTTCGATCACTTGCGATGTATCTTCCGATGAGTGTGTAAACTGCTATAAGCCGCGAACGCTCTACTGCAGGTCTCGCACCTGTACGGCTTCTCTCCAGTATGAGTCCTCCCGTGTTCCGCCAAGGTGCATTTCATAGTAAACGCCCTGCTGCACGTGTTGCACTTGAACGGCTTCTCTCCGGTGTGAATTCTTTCGTGATTCGCCAGGCTCCATTTATGACTAAACGCCCTGCTGCACGTGTTGCACTTGAACGGCTTCTCTCCGGTGTGAATTCTAACGTGAGCTGTCAAGTTAGTCTTACTCGTGAACGTTTTCTTGCAGACGCCGCAACTGAAGGGCCTCTCGCCAGTGTGAGTCCTCTCGTGGATGGAGACAGCCGTTGCGGAAGAGGTGGAGTAAGGACAGAAGCGGCACGGGCGCTTGTCCTGTTGTCGGTGCGTTTGCGGCTTCTGTGGGTCCGACCCGTTGGTTTGGCGAGCGGTGCCACATCTGTCGCTGTCACGGCCAAAGATATCCACTTTGTCGCCGTAGTATTCTTCGTTCCAGTCTGTTGGGATGACAAAACAAAGCGAGAAAGGTAAGAGCTGTTTTTATTGCTCTGAACGAGAGTTTGAGTACCTACATGAACATGGTCCTGAATATCTATGTTATGCCGATGCGGTCTAAAGTAGGTATTCATTCGTTTAAAATGCTAAGAAGCTTCAGTCGGGATCAGGGCGTAAGATAGACAGGTGGTGAAAAGAGAGCCAAATGAGCGACCGGATTGTGTCCCCCTCGGTTTTCTCTTTCTCTGTGGCGCCACCGCGAACTCTCACTGCAGGTGGGCGAACGGTGGCGACCGGTTAAACTGACGGAGAAGGTTTCTCGTGTATTTTCAGAGGAGGACTGTCGTGCTCTCAGTTTATTTTGCGCACACTCCCATAGAGTTCCGTGCAAATTCGATTCCAAAGTTTTTCTTCTCGCCGCAGCGCCATCTGTCGCAAATCGGGAGTACCCGCAAGCAGACGAGTACACAATCCGGTCACGGCGCTGCGGTAGGTTTCCCTGGGCCGTCTCCCCACTGTCTATCTTACACCCTGGTCGGGATGCTTGTAAAGGGATTGTTAAAGACTCGTGTCTAGCAGCCCCACGGGGCGGCAGCTGTGGTGGCTTGCGCTTTCTGCTAACCAAGTTCGGAAGCGAACTCAAGCCACTGCGGCCGCCACTGTATAACGCTGTCGGTACGGAGTGGTGGGTGATTCGTGTTGACGTTCATAATGATAACGACTGTTTATTAAGTAACGCTGGAAGCGTCTTCCACACACCCACAGGTTAATAGGTTACATAAGATAGCAATAAAAAGGCACGCAAAATAATCGTTGTTTACCATAGCAAAATGAAAATATGCTTACAATAATGACCCACTTCGAAACGGGATTGATGTAGATATACTCCCGTTTGAAGTTAAACTTACGCGACAGAAATATTATTGCGTCAAAAATAATTTGTATCATTGGTGAGAGCTACTTGATAAATCTCAACTAAGAACACAATTTTGTAATATAAAGAAACAACTCACACGGCACATTTCTCTAATATCAAATAAGGTGTTGACCTTGAAACTTCAAGTGCTCAGTCTGAATATTCCTTCAGTAGGGCCCAGCTTGTTTGTTTACTTTCACCTGAGTTGCAGTTCTCGGACTTTGAGATAAAATCCATTTATCTCCTCTTCCTTTCCTGCCTCTCGAGAAAAAAAAACTGCGAATTTCGTTGTGGTATATTTGTGTGCTTGTTACAGGCCGCTAATTAAAACCTAATGAAGTTTCAACGGGGGGAAACCTTGTGTACCTCATAAGACTTCTCACCTTTTCCACCTTCTGGAAAACCTAGCATACAAAAGGTTTTCTATTCGTGTGGGACTGTTCATGAATCTGCGAGGGTGTGCTAAGAGGGTGCGAGGCTGGATGAGTATTGTCCCTAGTGCGTCTTCTCGTACCTGGTGTTGTTAGTTCTGTGGGCACCGTAAGATTGGGGGAAGAAGTCGCACCGCCGTCCGTCCTCCCCTCCTGGTCCATCTTCAATGGTTGCCTCTGCAAATCGGCTCCTTGGAAGGGCTCCGATCCCCTGTTCTCGCAGTCCAGTCTCTGCCATTCGTAGTCCAATGCTGCGAGGGAAAGTTCTCTTAAAAGTGAAAATAAAATTTTCTTTAGTTTCTTTTTTTAATTTATACTACACCAACACAGAAGCCATACCAGAACAAAGTCAAGAAACAAGCAAACAGAGACTCGTCGTGCAGATGAAGTAGAGAAAGTCAGGGGTTTACTTTCATATTGCGGTGTAATTCAAAAGGCAAAATAATCATATCACGAACAATCAAGCGCATCATAACTGGATATTGAACATAACGAAAAAGACGATTGTAAAACATGTACGTGAATGAAACATAAAAGCGGACATTCATCTATTAAGCACGTTCTTCAAAGGTTTTACTTTGAAGAACGTGCTTCAAAGGTTTTACTTTGATTCCGTCAATACAGTCCAACACTAATCGAGGAAGACACAACTGGGTACGAGAAAGGAGCGTGGCTTAGTTACAGCGCTCCTGCTCTCTAGTGCTGAAAAAATGCAGGCATGCTACAAAAACAACAACTGTACGGTATAACACCGCTATAGGTCTTGAGAATTACACGTCAGCAGAACAAACATGGTGCGCGGCGGACAAAAGTAGGGAAGGGGATGGAAATGTAGCATGTAGTTGGATGAGCTGTGGTCATTCCCTATCTGATCCGACTTGTCGGTCTCATTCATCTAAGAAAAGGTAGCACAAAACTCTGGCACTGCCAAAGGTTGACTGGTTGGTGGCTGGCCCTCTTTCCTAGCCCCCACTTCCGTTCCAGTTAAGATGATTTCGGGATACTTCTGCCTGCAAGGTTTAGAAGAATGTGGGTTAATAAACAGTCGCCAACACAAAGTGACGACATTTACCCTAAAATATCATCGCATTCGCGTAGCAAAACTAAAACTGAAGGGTACCAGTAGTCGGAATTGGTCAAGGTGATTATTCATTATTTGATTAAACTGCACAGTAAATGATTACGAATTGCGACACAGAGACGAGAAAAAAAGGAAACAAACTTGAAAACGCGCATTTGCAGTGCAGTTTAACCAAATAAGGAATTGAATGCCACTTTCCAGATTAAATGGGACATAGATAACGGCACCGTCCATCAGTTCGGGAGTACCTGCGACAATTTTCGATCTGAAGGACACGAAAAATAAAGACTCATATGACTATATCATTTCCAAGAGTGAATATTTTCCCAAATATCACCGACCATCTCAATTTTTAGGACATGTTTTATTCTATAAACATGTCTAACCGCATGGTAGACGGACAATTCGTGCCGGTTCCGTCCCTACTGCAACATCCACAGGACCGATGCTATCATAGATAAAAAAATGTGCAGTAGATCAATCAGTCAGCCTCGCTTCTTACCGAAAATGGTCATAGGCCGGGCTCACGTATGAAGAATGGGTTTGAGCTGATATACTTGGTTCACGTTAACGGGTTTCTCTAAAACCCGCAGGGGCAAAGATTCCTTTAGATCATCCAGGAGTTGATGACAAAACGTTATCATTTGGTTAATTGATCACCAGTATAAATTCATCACCATTAAACACCAGTATGAAGTTTTCATTCCCTATTGCAAAGTAAATATGTTGTTCCTATTGCTCCCTACTCACAACCTGCTTATAGTGGCCTTCCCCTCTTCATCGCCCCCATTAAAGACGGCTCATTCTTCAAGACCGCCACAGCTTAACACCTTTCAGATCCTTGCTTAGTTCATTCGTGGTTCTGCTTATGCATCTTTGACACCTGCCCCCCTCCTCTGTAACGCCGCCCCCCCCCCTCCCCCCCCCCCTCCCCCCCCCCCCCCGCCCCCTCCCGACCCTGACGGTATGGTACAGGCTGGAACAAGGCGCGTAATACAAAATTTGTTCAGCCCTGTTTTGCCAGCTGGGCTACGGGATAGCGTCTCTCTTTTCAAAACCAGTTTTAGGGGTTGGAGTTGGGTGTCTGGTGAGACCAAAAGCATTCTCGGGTACTGATTGCACGTGACGTCGAAACGTTTTGCTGGGCGAGAGTTTATCGATCAATGATAAATTTTTAGTTCGCTCGCTTTTCACTAACACACATATGGTGACGGGGGTCTCGAGGTCAATATTGTACTTGTCCCGAGTGTACTCAACAAAACAAAATGGATCAGCCCAGCGTTTGGCCTCGCGAATATACAGTTACACCAGATATTTCAGGAATAACTGAATGGCGGACGCCTCGCGAATGTACAGTTACACCAGAGATTCCAGGAATAACTAAATGGCGGAGACATTTCACCGTATATACTCGTAAGGCTGAGCATGCGCAGTTACTCTGGCGAGGTCACGCGCTCCGCTTGTCCATTTCTTTTCGGTGAGCACTCATTCATAGGAGAATTTGAGCTCTGTACGGCAGCACAGCTTCAGATCTACAGAGGGAGCTCTTGTTGTCGATCGCATTGAACGGGAAGTAGCAGACCCTTAAGCGCCGTTCACATATATGCGACCGAGTAAAGGCCCGTCCACACACTTGCGACCGAGTAAGACCGAGAGAGACCAGACCGGTTTTTAAGCCTCTTGCGACGTCTTGGGACCGGATGCGCTGCAGCGGAGCTGGTCCTAAGAGATCGCAAGAGGCTTAAAAACCAGTATGGTCTCTCTCAGTCTTACTCGGTCACAAGAGTGTCAACTGGCCTTTGTGGTTTCAGCTTGCGTCCCGTATCACTTCGTCGCGGCATTGAGATTTTAGCAGACGGCTGTCCTTATTCCGGTCCGTTAACGAAAGACGTGAAAGTATTTTCTTGATTTCTTTTTGTCTGCGAATGACGCTTCGTGGCAGACGAATTCTGTTGTTCACTTACGTTAGCAGACTAATCATCTGCTGACGTTTTCTTGGCTCGACCCATAAGTCCCTGTCAGACTGCTCGTACACCAAGCAAAAGGCAGTCTGTAGACACCGTCTGAGGCGCGTTTCTTCCTTCTCGCGCGATAGGTCTCTCATATTGGGCCTACTAAAACAGTCTACCAACCTGTTTGAAGCGCACACATATGTGTGAAACGGCTTCGCACAGATGTGTGCAGTTCAAACATGTCTGCAGAGAGTTTTGGTAGGTCCATTGTGAAAGAACTGCCATAAAGGAGCCAATTTTGGCAGTTCACACATTTTCGACGGCTTACGACTGGAGTGGCTGTGAACTGTTTTGCGACTGCTGATGACCGGCCGCTGTGACGCCGGTCATAAGTAGTCGCAAGTGTTCTAAGAACGAGCGGTCACGCAGTCAGAAACGTGCGATCCTGCCTCGACTTCAGCAAACAATAAAGCAAACACAGATATGGCGAATGTTGTTTGACAGTTTTAGAAATAAGACTCTACCTCCAGACATTTTGACATAATAAAACAAAAGTTGGAGACACTATTAAATTGGTCCGACGTACATAGAGGGGTTATACAGTTTACACATATAAATGTACGAAAACCTCTAATCGGGTTTTAAAAAGGGGGGGGGGGGGGGGGGCGGTGTTCAGCAAAGGGTGATTCCACGTCAATTCATGCAATGATGGTCCGGGTCATATTTTAGATATTTTTGTTAAAAATATATATGAAAGCCATGTTTTTGGGAGGAACATTCAGCTATATATGAACGCCGTAACAATTTTTTTCGCTGAGATATAAAATAGAGAAGCTTGAGGCGTGGAAATTGAGAAGATTTCACAATGCTACTTTGCACAGTCGTCATTTCCTTATCGAACCTTTCACGGCACCATACCTTTTTCAATAGGTTTTACTAAGGTTATACAACACATACATAAAAATTAAAAATATCCATAAAATATTTCAATGCAAACAAAAATATCAAACATGGCACAAAAACGCGTTTTAGAGACATATTCACAATTTTTTTGCAAATAAACCATCTTTCATAATACTTCACAAAACATATCAAAATGCGCGTATTTAAATATTCTTTACGAATATATAAAGATAATATGCCCACCCTTAAACATATTTTTGTTATCAACTTGGAAATTCGGCTGATTTCTCAAAATGTGGCAAGATTGGGCGTCGATATATAAAAAACTCCATCTTTTATTTTCTTTAAACTCCCCTTGGCACTTTGCAGTGACTTGAACTAACCTGTGATGGCAAAAGATTGAGTAACATATGACCTCCAAGCGGGAAAAGCTACGACAAACTTTCACTCGGAGCGAGCCGACGTCTTCGTCATAGCGGCTTTGCCGCACAGCACCAAACGTTTTGAGCGTCAGTTATGGCATGTATTTTATATTATTAAAATTCTTTTTTTCATAAAGGCTGAGTATTAGTGACGCGAAAATGGACTTTGAGCTGGAATACCATTAATTAGATTACAATTCACAGGAACAAAACGGCCCCACTGTGCGAATTCGCTAACTATGCATAGATAAGCTTAAAAGTGGCCATGTATACATCCGGCCTCTCGGCATATGATGACTTCCACAGATGAGAAGCCTGGATTCCTCTCACAGGTTTTATGGTGGTCCACTCTGCTTGCTTTACCGCACGAAACTCTCGAACCCGTTCCACAGACAGGTGGAACATGCAGACATTTGTGACTTTTTTACGTAGCACTTCCACAAAGTATTTAGCGGTGGCAATCGTTGAGTTGAGCGAAGGTCTCAACTTGGTGAGCGTTGGTTCTTCCACCTACTTCATCACAAGCGCTTTCTCCGTGTCCAGTGGCTGAAAAGATCCGTCTTGCCGAAGAGTGCGGCTTCCGAGACAATTCGTGGAATTGGAAGCGATTCTTGAAATGCGCCGCCGCTCCGTCTGATACAAAAATTATTTCAAAAAGGACTGGGAAATGAACATTAACATACTCTTTTATGGCCTATGTGGCTAGAAGAGCGTGAGCTGTATCATGTGTCGTGTACCATCGGTGACAACGGCAAAGCTTTGCGTGCCTTGCGTGGACGTAACCACACTTGTGGAGAGAGACACTTGAGTTTTTTTTCAATGAAAACTCTGCACTTCGGTTGGAAAGAGTACTGTCCATTTTTCCGCAAAATCGAAGTGGAACATCACTGCCTTGGGTGGTAAGGCGGTTCTTGTGTCATGTTTCAGGCTTCGTTCAAGGTCAAGGATGTAAGAATGCCTCATATACTTTTCGCTCTCCTATTGCCGCAGGAAGGCAGAAGTGTCCATAACCTTTTTGACGAGTTCGCCAGCGTCCCATAACGCGAAACAGATCTTTTCGTCTTCGTCGAGATGAAGCGACTGCAACGAGATGCTCTGCGTTTTTGGGCACTTTTCGCAACGGCGCAGAAAGCAATCGTTCTGTGGAGCGCAGAAGAAGTAGATGCGCTTGAGGTCGTCTTCAGTAAATGTCTTCTTTCGGGCATTTGTTATTGCCATTAAAAGCAACTGAAAATTGACGCAATATATGCATGCGCACACCTCGTGCTCGGGACTTTTTTTTTTACCCATTTTGGTCGTAGGGAATAAAATTTGGAGATGCCTAGTTCGGGTTGGGGATGGTCCTTCCTAAACAGCTGGTAAGTTTCCTTAATAGAGCGGGTCATAAACCTTTTTACGACTTTGAACATGTCGTTCATCATGGCTTTGACGACGTCCTTTTTGTCGGGGCTTTGAACGGAGCATGCGAGGTCGTCGCGTGTGTAGTACTCAATTGCAACCCCCACGTCTTCGGCATTCGCCTTTTTCCCCATGTTGGGGTCAGGGGTTGCTCAAACACCACCTTTGCGCTTCAGATTTCATGTTTGATCAATCATGTAGGCAGTCGCACCCGACACCAGACGCAATGTTGTTTTCTTCAGGATGATTGGTGGCAGAAGCACGTACAATCGCTTGCGTTCCTGGTGGGAACTACATGCCTTCAGCACTTCGCAAAACGCGTCAAACCACTCTGCGCAGTGCTCACAACTGTCTTCGAGTTCGAGAGTTTCGTGCGGTGAAGCAAGCAAAGTGGACAACCGTAAAACCTGTCAAAGGAATCCAGAAAACTCATCTGTGAAAGTCATCATATGCCGAGAGGCCAGGTGTATACATGGCCATTCGCGCAAGTGAGAGTTTTAAGCTTATGCATGATGCATAGGTAGCGAATTTGCAGAGTGGGGCCGTTTTATTCCTGTGAATTGTAAGCTAATTAATGGTTTTCCAGCTCAAAGTTCCTTTTCACGTCACTAATACTCACCGCGTATAAAAAAATAATTTTAATAATATAAAATGCATGCCATAACTAACGCCCAAACGTTTGGTGCTGTGCGGCAAAGCCGCTATGACGAAGACGTCGGCTCGCTCCGAGTGAAGGTTTGTCGTAGCTTTTCCCGCTTGGAGGTCATATGTTACTCAATCTTTTGCCATCACAGGTTAGTTCAAGTCACTGCAAAGTGCCAAGGGGAGTTTAAAGAAAATAAAAGATGGAGTTTTTTAAATATCGACGCCCAATCTTGCCACATTTTGAGAAATCAGCCGAATTTCCGAGTTGATAACAAAAATATGTTTAAGGGTGGGCATATTATCTTTGTATATTCGTAAAGAATATTTAAATACGCGCATTTTGATATATTTTGTGAAGTATTATGAAAAATGGTTTATTTGCAAAAAAATTGTGAATATGTCTCTAAAACGCGTTTCTGTGCCATGTTTGATACTTTTGTTTGCATTGAAATATTTTATGGATATTTTTAATTTTTTATGTATGTGTTGTATAACCTTAGTAAAACCTATTAAAAAAGTTATGGTGCCGTGAAAGGTTAGATAAGGAAATGACGACTGCGCAAAGTATCATTGTGAAATCTTC